CCGTGATTTTCTCGCCGTGGAAGTTTCTTGGCGTGATCCTTCGAAATAGACTCCCCATGCATATCTTGCAGATGAGATCATGTCAGTTGCGGTGAAAGGTTGCCATCGGAAACATTGAAGATCCCAAAGCTCTTGAAGATCGTGAAACTTTTGAAGAGTGTAACGATGATATATTGAAGCTCCCGAAGCTCTTGAAGCAGAGTAAAGATGATACATTGAAGCTCCTGAAGCTCTTAAAGAGCATAAAGATGATATCGCGGTGTAAAAGGTTGCCGCGAGATTCGGCGCAGTACACGGTTACACCCAAGGCACGCTTTGGGCTCACTCCTCACAGACTACCCACCCACCCCACCCCTGACTCAACGCCGCAGCCTGCCATGGGTTTCACCGTGTACTGTCCGGGCGACTTCAAGTCGCTTAGGTTGCTCAGGTAGAGCTATAGCCTGAAGTATATGATGTAGCTCATAGGATTGGACTGAAAATCCTTCATCGAGTTTGAGAATGAAGAAAATGGACGTCACAAACGCAACGTCGCTAGACCGGATGAGATGGTCCATAGAGCAGGTAGCAGAAGGTAGCTGCTGAAACTGAAGGAAAGGCATGCTACTGATCAGGGATGATTGAATTCAGTTCCAGCCTTTCTGAATGGCGGCTAGCGCGGCGTCAACCAAATGTGATGGATCAATGAATCAAGTGTGCGGTACAGCAATTACCTGGGTGCAGTGCGGTGTTACGCGGTAGCAGGGGAATTACTGGTCAGTGTGCTATGGCTGGTAGCGAGGGAAATGCTGACACTGGGCTGGGTACGCGGTGCGAGAAGTACAGTGTGATGTGAATGGATGGATGGTGGTGGTGCAACAGACCATAGCGGTGAGGAGGTTGTGGTGGCTTGTGCCATCGGCCAATCAAATGGCGCGCTGAGATTGTGGCAAGGGACATTTGTCGAGCGGCGTGTGGAGAACATTTTGAAGCGGGCCCCCTTATCCATCCAGGCCAGCCCAAATTGTACACTGCTTTGACACAAATTGGTTAGAAAATGCAATTGGTGAAAATGCACATTATTGGCCTTGCTCGTATGCAACGCGTTTGCCAAGGACGCGTATTTCTGGCTGGGAAGGTTGTTCGGCGTGCTGATGCACAACTGCAAGGGCAGGCTCGACTTCTGAGAGGTGGTTGACGTGGCGCTTTCTTTGGTTGGGCCATGAGTTTTTTTTAGCGAACCCGTGTGAATTTTGCGTGAGGTGCGGTGCGGGACGGCTTTGGTTTAGGGCGTATTCCCGCACTTCGGGTCATCAGCACTTCGGGCCATCCGAAATTGTGGGATCCAATCGGAAATTCGGAATCAGAGATTGGGATGCATTCTGATTTTCCGATTGGATCCACAATCTCGGATGACCCGAAGTGCTGATGACCCGAAGTGCAGAAATACGCCCTCAGTTATGGGAATCGTGAGTGGCGCGAAAAAGCTCAGCTGACTGGCTAAAGCTGAATCGGGCAACTGAAATCCAATGGTTGGATGAAATGAGATTCACGTGAGCCAACAGAAATGGTGTTTTAGCCACCATGGCACATCCACCACGGCATTACCAACAACCCGAACCTCGAGTTGCCGAACCTGCCACACCTAATCCTCTCTCTCTCACCCGTCATTTTCCAGTTGTAATAGCGCAAGGTTCGACTTACACTCGGTGGTAGTTTTGTCGCTCATCATGTTAGCTGTTTTCTTGATACTTGTTTCTCGTTTACCAGATCTTAGCGCGGTAGTCAACGTGGAGCGTAAGGCCATCTTCTTGCTTTGTCAGCGAGTTAACATTGTGGTAAAGGTGACCCACTCTATCGGTCGTTTCTTAGTGTTAGTCGCTTCAACGCGTTTGGTAGTGTGTTAGCAGAATTAGATCTGACATCAAACATTGCAGTTAGTCGCCCCACCGCATTCAGTTGCACGCCTCCGAATCTGACGTTCTTTATTGCTTGCGGATTGAGGACGGAATAGTAACATACGTCCGCGGAGGAATTGGTCGCCTCGCTTCCAAACGCATCAGTAACGTTGCGCGTATCGTCGATTAGACAGCTTTGTCGACGGTAGCCGGACGCAAGGCGGAAATAAAGAGGGCGGGAGGTGAGTGGCGGGGTGAAACGGGAGAATGGACGGGTGAAAGCTTTTTTTGAGGACGGAGAGGATCCGCGAAAGGTAACACGGGAACCCGCCATTTTTTTTCCTATTTTTCCCCTTTTCCCTCCCCATTTCCCCGCTTCCCCTTCTCTCCCTTTTCACCCCATGACGCAGCCTAAAAACATAATTCGTCTCTCTGCTTCCCAGCTCTCTCCTCATCGTCCCTGCTCTCCCCGCATCTTTTCCGTTCTCCTCGCATCTTCTCCGTTCCCCCCATCTTCTCCGCTCTCCCCGCATCTTCTCCGTTCTCCCCGCATCTTTTCCGTTCTCCCCGCATCTTCTCCGCTCTCCCGCATCTTTCCCGTCCTCCCCTCATGCCCCCCTCTCTCCTTCATCCCCCAGCCCCCCTTCATATCACCGCCGCGCTCTCTTGCTCTCTTCCTTCACGCCCACCCTCATCTCCCTTCCACTCCCCCCTCGTTCCCCATCTCTCCCCCACCTCCCCTCTTCCCGCATTTCCGACTTACCCGTGTTCCCCTCCCCCCACCATACCTCAGTTTCCCTCCCCCCCCCCCCTCACGCCTCCTCTCCCTCCCGATCCGCCCCTCATCTCCCTCCCCTCCCATACCACCGCAACCCCATCACCCCTCATCTCCCTCACTCCCCTTCTCCCTCTCTACAACCTAACCACCCAACATCCCCCTTTGCTCTCCCCTCAGCTTTCCCCCACTCACCCTTCATCTGTCCCCGCCCATTCACTCATCATCCTCTCCCCCCCCTTCCCCCGTTCCCCTATATGTCTGTTTGCCTGCAATCCATGTCTTTTGACTCCTCAACTTTCCGGTCTGTACCCCCACCCACCCCATCCTCATTCCCCTCCATTTATTCACTTCTCATTCCCCTCCTTCTCTATGACTGCTTGCTTTTGCGGCAACTGCATGCCTTTTGGCTCCTCAGCTGCCTGGTCTGGCAGGTGAGTGCTTGTCATTGCTGCTCCTGATTGCTGCTTGCTGCTTGTCTCAGTCAAAATGGCGATTTTAAACCCTTTTGGCACTGTCTTTCTATCTGCTTGCTTGCTTTTGCGGCATGTCAGCGGAACTCAGCTGCCTGCTTGCTTGGATGTGGCTGGTTGGCTTGGCACCCACAGAAACAACTCTCCCTGGTTCCTGGTGTGACAGATGGCTGCATGTGATTGGGTAGCAGCAGGGTGCTATGACCTTTAACCTTTTTGTTCCAAGAGTTTGGACATATCCATGACAGCTGGAGTGGATGTATTTTTGTACACCCTGTTACAGTAAGATCATCATCACCCAGCAGCTAAGGATGCGTCACAATTGCGACATCGATCCTGTGGGAGATCGATGTTCCGAGTATGTAGTAGTTCGCCGTGTCTTGTATCCTGTTTTCGTTAAAGTTCCCTAAGACCCAACACAAGTCACCGAACGCGATGTCCCTTCCAGATCGATCTGTCACCGCACTCAAATCCTACGTAGTGAATATGATAATTTTTAAACACACATAGTGTTTTTTTAAAATTACGTATTTCGAAAGCGCAGCTGACTGTAACGCGAATTTGGCATCGTCGAAGCGCGCTAACGCCCTTCTCCAACTACAAATCGTGGGTTGGAGTTCATTTCCCTCCACCCACGTCTCTCATTTTTCAAACGGCTCATGCAACTCTCGGTTCCTCGAGCTTTAGTTTTCCGTTCAAGCTGGCTAGAACCCGCTCTCTACCGAGAGGCGTTTCACCTTCAACACTATTAGCCGACATTCTCAACCACAACACCACGACGATGGCTGCTACGCCGACACTTTTCGCGCGAACAACACCGTCGTCAACGACCCGATTAATTCCGACAACGATCGCAATGCCCGGGAAACGTCGGGCGAGCGTCGCAACAAGCGCCGGGCAGACGGCGAAACGTCCGCCCCAACTGCCGTAGACGTGCTGCTGGGCGGGCTCGAGGTAAACAAAAACGTCGAGCGGCACCAGCAGCACCCTTCAGCGCCTGTGGAGCCTGTTGCGCCAGTGGCACCTATGGCACCTGTGGCAAACGTGGCGCCACACGCTGCTGACACGGAGCACGCGCCTGAGGCACACGCGCCCCTCAGGCAGTCGCGCCAGAGGCGCAGGACGGCCGCCTCGTCTGACGCGACCGTGGACCCTGACTTGACCAGAGCGTTGACCCCGGACCAAGTCAAAGCGCTTCTGTCCCTGTTACAGCAGCGACCCGCCAGCGTCATTGAAGCCGAAAATACACAACCGGCAGCATCGATTTCGGCTAAAAACGAAATTTTGAAAAAGGAGAAGGGAGCAAAAGGAGCGTCAACACGCCGTCACAACAAAGAAGCGGCTACCGGCGTTCCCGAAGCCGCAGCCGACAATCATGACTGCGACGACTCAGACGACGACGCTGGTGAGGGTCCAATCAACGCAACAAATTTTACATCCATGGAAAATCTCCCCCCCCCTTCCTTCAACCACCCCCACCTTCTCAACCGCAAACTTCATGAAGACAATCGTGCGCGCGAAAGCGGAGCCCCTGGAGGACGTGAGGGCCTACCTGAAAAACGCGGAGTACAAGCTGCAGCACGACGACACGGCGGGCGGACTCGAAATGGTCGTCAACGCCCACGACTATATTTCGGAGCGCTTCGTGATGTTCCAAGTCGAGGACCACACCGACGACCGCGTGGCGAAGCGATTCAAACTCTACCAGCAGAAGAGTCTCCTCACCTCCCGCCCGTTCAAGCAGGCGGTGGATGACGTGGCGGCTATGGATCGCGCGGAGGGCGCGTACGCTCGTTCCCACCGCGGTGGAGGGCACGGGCCGACTTCATACACCCCAAAGCGGGGACCGCCGCCCACGGGTGGCTTCCATGGCTTCCGTGGGGGGCGTGCTTCCGTTGTGGCCAGCCGGGTCACATGGCAAGTGGCTGCCCGTGAAACGGAAACGGTGGCCAAGGACCCGCACCCGTGGTGTAGGGGCGGGCCTTGAGCGATGGCGCCTTGTGCGCGTGGCACGGTGCACGTCATGTGCAAAGACCGTGGGCAACCCAAAGGGGTTAGCGGTGGCGGTTGGCCAGCCCTAGTTAGGGGTGATTAATAGGCTAGAGGCCTAGGATGAGGGGGAGGGAGTAAAAACCTCTTGGCCCATTGGTAGGAGCCCATGCGGTAGGGGCGAAGGCATGCTAGGAGCATGGTAATATATGGCCCGGTTTATATAAGGGCGGTTTTATTAAAGAAGCAATTTCTGACTTGGCTTATGGTGTGAAAAAAAAAAAACAAAAACAAAGGGGGGGGGGGGAGGAAAGAGAGAAGGAGCGGAAAAAGAAGAGACAAGGAGAGATGGAGGAGCAAAGAATGGCAAAGATACTTACCATATGACCCCAATCAACGACCCTTGCACTCATCGGACGTGCAACCATTGCTTTGGCCAATGGGCCAAGAAGCATGACCCGACTCAAGGGCGAGCAAGAGCAAGAACGAAGGAGAATTTGTGTGTGTGCGCACGTGTGTGTGAAAGAGAAAACGAGGGAGAGAGAGGGAGGGGGAGGGAAAGAGAGAGAGAAAGAGAGAGAGAGAGGGAGAGAGAGAGAGAAAGAGAGAGAGAGAGAGAGAGAGAGAGAGAGAGAGAGAGAGAGAGAGAGAGAGAGAGAGAGAGAGAGAGAGAGAGAGAGCAAGCCAGAGATAAACAAGGAGAAGAAGAAGAAAAAAAACTTGTGGTCACGTGACCATGCGGGAAGACTCACACCCACTCCTTGGTTTAGGGATTGCCAAAAAAAGGGGGGCGTACAATGCGGATGCTATTGCCGACAAATGATTATTCGAATGGGTCAATGAGCATACACCCATCGCATGCACCTACCCTTCACACACGAAGGATGTGTATCATATCCATAAGAACCTCAATTTTGCAATCCTGCCCCATTGTCACTCCGCAAACATGCAGAGGCAATAGGAGGTGTTAGACGACGACGATCCGTACGAGTTCGCCGTTACAGACAAGACCGTCACGCGAATGCGCGGGCGGCTTCGCGCAACCCTTGCATGGTGGAGTTCGTGGTGCCCAAGTAGCCTCATCCTCTCGGTCATCGCCAATGGCTACTGGCTACCATGGAGACACAACCCCCCATAACTGTTGAAATGAACGAACAGGAATGATTGAACTAACAGTGAAATCAGTACAAGTACCTAACCCTAGAATTGTGTACCCCCTATAGGCTAACCCACTATAGCCTAAACAAGCACAACATATATAATGTTTGACACACCCCCATAGGCGAAGTGGGGGAGAACTAGGGGTCACAAGACCAGTCAAGGCAAAGCAAGGCAAAACAAGCTCAGGGTGGATCTCAAGGATACCACACAAATTCCGAGCACAAGCAAATGGTCACAAGACCAGTTCACATGCAGGTTTATAATAGAGCAAGAGGTACAATGATCACAACCTAGCAAGACTAAACATGCAGGTATATATATAGAGATCACAGTACAAACAGACTCAAGAAGTAAGCAAGTGAGGTCCAGTAGGCACAAGGCCTAGAAGAGTGCAAAAGCGCTGATGGCCACAAGGCTAAAGCGCCTTGGTGAACACATCAGCAGTGTTGGCCTCAGAGGCCACGTAACGCAGACGAAGCTGACCGCGCTGCTGCAGCTCTCGAGCAAGGAAGTAGCGCAGAGCAATGTGCTTTGTTCTATGCTCCAGTCTGTGCTCCTGACACAAGGCAATGGCTGCCTTGTTGTCGACGTACAGCACTGGAGGAGAACGAGGCCGCTCTCCAAGGTCGGTCAGCAAGAAGGTGAGCCAGCGTAGCTCCTGGGCCGCCATGGCTATGGCGTAGATCTCAGCCTCACAACTGGAGCTGAGAACAGAAGAAGAGTGAGTAGAACGCCAAGAAACTGAACCAGAGCCAAGACTGAAGGTGTAACCCTGAGACGACCGCTGAGTAGCCTGGTCGTCTGCCCAAGAAGCGTCTGAGTGCCCAGTAAGAACAACTGGGTCTCGCCCTCCAAGCACTAGCCCCATGCCCGACGTACTGCACAAGTAGCGCAACACCCTCTTAGCTGCATCCATGTGCTCCTTCCGGTGACGGCCGGGAGCGACATAGCGTGCAAGAATGCTAAGAGGGTATGCAAGGTCAGGTCGAGTGCAGGTCATCAGGTACATGAAGCAACCCACAAGCTCTGGATACGGGCCACTCGGCTCTACGGACTCATCCGAAGGCAGAGCTGAGAGCGAGTGACCGGTAGGCAGAGGAGTGGCCTGAGGCGAGGAGTACGTGAAGCGGAAGCGCTGAAGGACCTACTGCACCATGTGTGACTGAGTCAAGGTGATGGTGCAGCGTGCTATGTCCCGGGTGATTCGCAAGCCAAGATAGCTTGTCAGTTCACCCAGGTCTGTGCACGTGTGTCTCTTCTGCAGCTCCGACTTCACGTGGGCGAGTGCCGCAGTGTCAGCAGTGGCAAAGACCAAGTCGTCGACGTACACGAGGATGTAGAACGGCGGCAGTGAGGTGTCGGTGCGTAGAAACAGCGACGGGTCAGCAGTAGAAGGCGCGAACCCAAAAGCCGCAAGTGTAGTCCTCAGTGTGACGTGCCACTCACGTGGCGCCTGGCGGAGACCGTAGACTGGCCGTCGGAGGCTCCATTGGGTACCAGGAGGGAACGACCCAGTGAAGCCAGGTGGGCGGCGCAGCCAGATCTCCTCGTGCCGGCTGCCCTCTAGGAAAGCAGTGCTGAAGTCAAGAGAGTGGAGCTCGTAGTCACGCTGAGCGGCGACGTGCAGCAGAATCCGAAGAGTGGTCATCTTCGGGGTCGGGGAGAAGGTCTGGAAGAAGTCAACTCCCTCTCGCTGACTGAAGCCTCGTGCAACGTAACGCGCCTTGAAGACAGGCGGAGAGCCCGGCGGCCGCTTCACCCTGAAAATCCACATGCCACTGACGATGTTCGCCCCAGGCGGGGGAACCTCGTCGACGTAGGTGCCTGTGGACTTCTGGAAGCCATCTCTGTGTCCATGGTTGTCTGCCACTGAGAGGAGTAAGGACCGGCCATCGCCTCTGCGTAAGAGCGTGGGGTCGGGATGTCTGGTGCATCCGGGTCTCCCTCAGGGGCAACAAGCATGGACACGAGATGGGGCAAAGCGGCAGCAAAGCACTCAAACTCCTCCTGCGTGTCCTCAAGGACGTCAGTGCCAAGAGCACACTCACCCCCGACGGACGGAGGACAGACAGACTCAGACTCAGCAACTAGGCTAGCGGCGTAGTCTAGACGACAGGTGGCAGCAAAGTCGACAAGCTCAGCAACTAAGGCAGACGCAGCAGCGGAATCAAAGAAAGGGTCAGTGACAACAGTAGCCAGGAGACGCGTGACAGTAGGACTGGCAGCACGAAGGGAGTCTGACTCCGGGTCAGCAAGAGTAGGAAGAGAGGACGTAGGAGGAGACGGCAGTGGGACACGCTGTGGAGCAGTGGAAGGACGAAGCGCCATCCGGTGAGTGCCTGGGAGAGCAGGAAGACGCTAACGCGGGACACGACTACCAGTGAGAGCAGCACGGACAGGCGACCCACGACGAGACTCAGGCGACGCAGGACGAGACTCAGGCTCACGACGCTTAGTAAGACCTCCAGTCGGACCAGTGTAAGGAGCAGGACCAGGGAGAGAGGAGGCAGACGGTAGTTGCGACTGCAGCTGGACAGACGGAGGACACCCTAAGGAGGGAGGAGGAAAAGGAGGAGGGAGCTGACCAAGAACCTGCTGAAGGAGTGGAGCGAAGTACGGCCGCAGCCGTGCAGCGACTCCAGAACTAGTAGAGACACCAACGCCAGGGTCCTCAGCACCAGCAGCAGCTCCAACTCCCGGGTCCTTAGCACCAGCAGCAGCTCCAACGCCCGGGTCCATAGCACCAGCAGCAGCACCAGCGCCAGGGTCCTCAGCACCAGCAGCAGCTCCAACGCCCGAGTCCTCAGCACCAGCAGCAGCTCCAACGCCCGGGTCCGCAGCACCAGCAGAAGCTCCAACGCGCGGGTCCGCAGCACCAGCAGCAGCTCCAACGCCCGGGTCCGCAGCACCAGAAGCAGCTCCAACCTCTGGGGCCGCAGCACCTGCAGCACCAGTAGAGTCTCCAGCACTAGCAGCACCACCAGCAGCAGCGGGGTCCGCGACACCAGGCGCGCCACTCCGAAGAGTGCAGCGCCGCTCGTACCACTCATGGATCCACTCACGGGAGGGGAGCTCCCGACTAGGAGGAGAAGCACTAGCACCAGTCCCACTAGTATGCCTGGCTCCAGAGGTACCTCTTCTGAGCCTGCAGTACTGTAAGTACCACTCACGCAGCTGCTCCGAGGAGAGGGCTCCTCCAGGTGTAGGACTCCCAGGCTCAGCACCTCCAGGCTCAGCACCCCCAGGCTCAGTACCCCCAGGCTCAGCACCCCCAGGCTCCGCACCCCCTGGCTCCGCACCCTCAGGCTCAGCACCCCCAGGCTCAGCACCCCCAGGCTCAGCACCCCCAGGCTCCGCACCCGCAGGCTCCACACCCCCAGGCTCCGCACCCCCAGGCTCCGCACCCGCAGGTGGACGAGAGTCAACAGCTACCTCAACAGGCTCAACCGGGACTACCTGAGACACACGTGAGGGAGCGCCACCCTGAGGGGGGAGGGGGTCTACGACAGTAGCACCTGGCGCGAGGAAGAGAGGCGGGGGGGGGAGCGGGGCAGAGCGGTAGGGGAAGAGGCGGTAGTAGGGGACGGACTCGTCAAAAGTGACGTCCTGAGAGGGCAAGACTCGGCGCGAGGTGGCGTGGTAAAACTGCCAACCAGGCGCGTCCGGGACAAAGCCGAGGAAGACGTAGGGAACAGCACGGGAGGATAGCTTGTCCGCCGACGTATCGCGGACAAAAGCTCGAGATCCCCAGACCCGGAAACGCGACGCATCGCCAACCTCCCCCGTCCACAGCAGTGTGGGCGAGGTCTCCGGCAAGGAGACACGGGGCCAGAGGTTGAGCTGATGCGCAGCGTACCGGACCGCAAACGGCCACAGAAAGTGGGGGGCAGCCGCATAGATCAAGGAGGTACGGGCGACCTCCATGACCAGGCCAATGCGGCGCTCTGCAATCCCATTCTGATGTGGAGAGGTCGGAAGCGTGAACGACAGCTCAATGCCGTGCTCAACACAGTAGGCTGCCAAGAGGTCGGAGGAGAACTCACCACCTCTGTCAGAGTGCAAGCGCAGGACAGGAAAGTCCGAGTGGAAACGCTCGCTGAGCTGGAGACGGGCTCTGCGGATCCAAGGGATCAAGACATCAGGGACCTCACCCTTGGTGCGCAAGGGGAAGACCGTGGTGTAGCGCGAGTAGTCGTCAACAACTATCAGGAAGTACCTCTCCTGACCCTGACCACGGACGCGGGCTGTGCCCCACACGTCCATGTGGAGCGTCTGCATGGGAGCAGTCGTCGGGGGAAACGAGGAGGAGTGAGGAGCGGCGCGCTGCCGCCCCTCAACACTGGGAAGACAGGGAGGAGCAGGTGAGGGAGGGAGGGGAGGAAGGACCCTGGGAAGGCCAGAGACAAGGTACGGGGAGTGCATGGCACGAAGGCGCTGCACAGACGGGTGGCCAAGTCGGTGGTGCCAGAGGACAGTCTCGTGTGCCAAAGAGCGACACGAGCAGGGGGCGGACAGCTGATCTGACGCGGACGCGGACGCAGTCGCAGCAACCTGAGGGGACTCAGTAGTCAGTGTGTACAGGTCCGACCCCGGCTGCCGAGTGAAGGTAGCCAAGTGACGGCCCGTACGAGCACACGTGCAGTGTGTCACGCGCTCGTAGGCAGGGGTGAACTGGTGAACACCCCTTTCCTGGAGCGCACATCCTGCCACCAGGTTCGTAGAGAACGAGGGGAGGTGGAGACCTGACAGTGTGCCCGACGGGACCGCAGGACAGGGGAGGACAGTGGAGGAGGTCGCAATGACCGGATCCCCAGAGGGGTCAGTGAGGGAGACAGCAACTGGCCGAGCAAGCGGCTCAAGGGCAGTGCGGTCACGAAAGAAGCAGCGAGAAGCACCTGAGTCCAATGTGAAGGTGGGCAGTGCTGCAGTCGACTCAGTACCAGGGGGGGCAGACGCACAAGCACTTAGAGCAGCTGCCTCACCAGCACCTGGGGTAGCAGACACGCGAGTACCTGGAGCGGCAGACGCACTAGTCCTAATGCCCGGGTCGGGCGGCACACACAGGTACTCAGCACCCTCTCCACTAGTAGACATCACATACATAGCAGTGAGAATAGCATCAAAGTCTAGAGCATAGATATCAATCCCCTTCTTCAGGAGATCAACCCAGCGGGGCAGCTCAGTGGCCTGAGGGATCTGAACACGCCAAGCGTCGTTCAGACGAGCGAAGCAGCGCTGTGTGGCGTGCGGTCCCCCACACGGCTGACCAGTGCGGTCACTAGTGCGAATGACGTACGTGCAGCTAAAGCCACCCCCCCCCCCCCCCCGTGCTGAGAGTACCACTCACGGACCTCCTGGGGCGACGGAGTGTGCTGCTGGCCCTGGCCACCGCCAGCGCCTCCACGACCACCACCGCCGCCGCCACCTCCTCGACCACCCCAACCCCTGCCGCCGCCGTGTCCACCGCCACCCCCACCACCGCCTCCGCCCCCGCCGCTGGCGCCACCACCCCCACCGCTGCCACTAGCCCCTCCAGTCGCGCCACCACCCCCACCGCCGCCACCGCCCCCACCACCGCCTCCCCCGCCGTCACTGCCACCGCCCTTGCCCCCTTGCCCCTGCCGCTGCGGCGCCCGCTCGAAGGAGACGCAGCCCCGACCTTCTCAGCACCAAGGAGGTCGACAGTAGCAGCAGAGGCGACAGAGGGAAGAAGGGGGGAAGGAGAACACCCCTCAAAGAACGGGGTACGGGGGTCACCACAAGAGGCACCTACAGCTACTATGCTAGCCTCAGCTGCAAGGAGTTCTTTCTCGAGGAGGGCAATGGTGAGCTCAGTGGGGCAGCGAGCTAGGAAGTGGTCCCTGGCTGAGCGCAGAGTGTCAGGGAGGCGGGTGACTAGGTGGTAGAGAGTGAGCCAGGGCGGGGGTGGGTTCATGGCAAGAAACTCATCAGGCATAGCGGCACGGAAGCGAGCCTCACTAGTGCGGAGGTGCGTAATGAGGTCAGTGACTGTGTGGAAAGAGGCCAAGTCGGGGAACAGGTAGGGAAGAGAGAGACGGCCTAGTGCGGCAGAGGCCGGTGAGGAGTAGCGGGCAACGACAGCAGTGTACAGTGCCTGTGCAGTCTTGTGCTGACCAAAGTGCTCGCGCTCATCTATCGGCAGGGATTTGCGAATAGCAAAGCGAGCGTAGGCGTCACGAGTCTGCCACTGTGAGCGGGCAGTGCTGTCAGCAGTAGCAGCAAGGGCAGTGACATGGCCTAGGGCGTGGTCGTACAGTGAGATGTCGTCCTTGGCAGTGAGCTGTAGATAGAGGTGCAGGTCATCTAGCCAGGTGTCAAGCTTCACTGGGCGGCCCTCAGCATCGAAAACTAGCATAGGTGGACTGGCCATAGGAGCAGTAGGAGCACCAGTAGGAGTAGGAGGATGAGACAGGTAGGGCGGCTCGGTCAGTACGCTCGGCGCGGTTCGGTTCAGGTAGGGCGGCGCGGCTCGGGTAGGGCGGCGCGGTTCGGTTCGGGTCGCGCGGCTCGGCTCGGACTGGGCGGCTCGGTTTGAGTCGCGCGGCTCGGCTCTGTCCTGGAGGGGTTGTGGCGGTCACGGGCCGTTCGGGGCCTCTAGGGGCGTGCGCGGGGCCGTTCGGGGCCTCTAGGGGCGAGCGCGGGGCCGTAAGGGGCCGCTAAGGGCGAGCGCGGGGCCGTTCGGGGGCCTGTAGGGGCGAGCGCGGGGCCATAGGGGGGGCCGCTAGGGGCGAGCGTGGGGCCGTTCGGGGCCTCTAGGGGCGAGCGCGGGGCTGTACAGGGCCTCTGGGGGCAAGCGCGGGGCCGTTCGGGGCCTCTAGGGGCGAGCGCGGGGCCGTAAGGGACCTCTAGGGGCGAGTGCGGGGCCGACGGGGGGCCTCTAGGGAGGTGAGCGCGGGGCCGACGGGGCCGTTAGGGGCGATCGCGGGGCCGACGGGGTCGCTAAGGGGCGAGCGCGGGGCCGTAAGGGGCGAGCGCGTGGGCTGACGGGGCCTTAAGGGGCGGTGCGCAGGTCGCTAAGGGGCGGGTCGCGGGTCGCGGGGCCTTAGGGGGCCGTGAAAAACGAGGCGCCCTAGGGCGCAGGTAGGTAGGTAGGTAGTGGTGGGCCCTAAAAAAAAACGGTCCTAGCGAAGGACCTGATCTGAAACCATGTTGAAATGAACGAACTGGAATGATTGAACTAACAGTGAAATCAGTATAAGTACCTAACCCTAGAAGTGTACCCCCTGTAGGCTAACCCACTTTAGCCTAAACAAGCACAACATATATAATGTTTGACAACAACCGTTTCACGAACGCAACCATCTCGG